ATTCAAGAGAGAGCCCCGTGGCCAAGCAGAGGGGGACGCAGTGTGGACATTCAAGAGAGAGCCCCGTGGCCAAGCAGAGGGGGACGCAGTGTGGACATTCAAGAGAGAGCCCCGTGCCCCGGCAGAGGGGGATGCAGCGTGAGCAGGACGGGCGGAGACAACGCTCTTCCACTGCACCCTGCAGCCTGCAGCCCTGAAGCACTGGAGACAAATCAGGGTGCCTCTCACCCCTCTTCCCGTTGGTACCCCACTGGCCACACTGCACACCACTCATCAACATGCGGAGTGTTCAAGAGTATTATGTACAAATGTAAACTGAAAAACTACTGTTGCCAGATGATTACCCTAAAATTGAACTAGCATATAAATATAAAATAGGTTAAATTTACATCTTTATCAATCAGCATTTTGTAACATTCCTTAACATTCTTTAAAGAATTATCTACACAGAACGTTGGGGGTAAGCTGCCTTTCTTAAGGGACAAAGAGCCCAAGGCTGTTGATACTTCCGGCCATGGGACCACGAGTACAGAGATGTGCCCAGGGGACTCTGCCCTGACTCGGTAAGCCAGATGGTAACATGGGCAGGAAGAGCCCTGGCAGACGCTGGCTGCATATCGTCCCCCACTTTCCTTGCTAATGAACCCCGATGTTGCTCATTTCCAAGGTGAATAGGTGTTTTGGCCTAAGAGATGAGAACTGATTAGTCCTGGCCAATCTGGGTTAGGAAAGGGCAGAGGACACAAAACCCCAGGGAGTCTGCCAGAACGGGGAAGGGCTTCTGGACAAGTCGTCCTCATTCTTGAGAAAAGCAGCTCCAGGAAGAAGCATGTCCTTTTCTCTCTCTGCACGCGCTGGAGTACGGGGCGCCGTGGGAGCACGAGGGGGGCCGGCCCAGGCAGGCGGAGGACTTGCTCAGGGGGATGAAACGAAGATGGAAAGAACTTGGCCCTTCAGTGACGCCCCCTGAACTGTTCAGTTAACGCGCCCCAGAGCCACCTTGCCTTAGGATTTCCTGCGACCTGAAATAACGAGCTTTCCTATTTATCAAGTCCCTTCTAACTGAAGTTGCTTAGGATGGCAGGATAGGGCCAAAATAACTGAAATACAACAAACAGGAATTGGAAAGAGCTTGAAAACAGGAGAGAGAAAGTACCTGCCATCTATGAGGAAGGATCATTTTTTTATGAGAACCCATTCAATGTAAAGTAATTGGGAAAGGGTTCTGGCGGGAAGGAAAGAGAAAGAAGGTCGGGGAGAAGGGGAGGCTGCCAGCAGAGCGTGAGACAAGTCCCACAAGTGCCCCTCTGCCTACTCCATCCTTGGGGGCGGTGGACTATGTGGTCTGTATCTCTAATTCCCTGTGTGTCCTTGATCGTTAACTTTTACTTTTAAATCTGTGACTCATTCCCAGTCTCAGACGTCACAATTCTACTAATAGTTCCAGAGAAAGAAAAACACATAAACACCAGTTACTCACAAAGGATATCCACTCCTCCCACGGCCGGGCATTGGCAGTTCCAGAAGTGGGCTGTACTGTGCCCCAGTACCCACGGAAGGCGGCCCAGGTAGTCCGAGGGCAGAAGTGTCTGTCTTACCAACCCGAGTGGCTTATCCACATCCAGGCATTCAAAAACCACCTCCTAAATGTACTACACACACAGTTCCACCCTTCACTGCTCCATGCTTTTATTCAGATGCCCCTCCATCCCTGTACCCCTGCCAATACTCATGGATTCCTCATGCCCTAATCTCCACCCGAATAAGCCCTCCTTGCCAACTATTTCATGTCTACAGTAGGCACCACTGGACAACTGGCGCTCAGCCTTCCTTCATTCCCTTCCTCCTCCAGATTCAGCCAGCACGTCAACCCCTCGTGTCGTCACAACCCAGGTGCCCACGGGTCACCCAAAGCGCTACGGCCACCTCTCCCACTAGCACCCGCCCCGTGAGCGGGTCCCACTTGCTCGGGAACCTGCAGGGGCTCTGGCTGGGTGGCAGCACCACGTCCCAGCTCTTCGGCCGGGTTTCCAGGCGCTCCCGCATCTGGCTCCACCACATCCCTCCAGTCTTCTTCCAGTGAGAACGACAAGCTGGACCCCACTCTCCCAGCTCCGGGCTCCCCCACCCCGGCTGGCCTTCCCCAGCGGGTGCCCAGCATCCTGCTCTCTGCTTTCCGCATCTTCCTTATTCCTCGGGACCCAGCTCACATCTCACCTCGTCCTGGCGACCCTGTACCACTGCAGCCCCTTCTCTGAGCTCCCAGTACCACACTCTTTAGCATCAGGGGGTCCTAATAAAGGTGGGTGCTCTCTCCCAGCTTGGGCCACACTGCTTGGCAGACCATGGCCCCCACTTCTTAGTGCTCCTCACAGCCTCCTGAGCACTCGGTGGGGAGGAGACAACTGTTTGTTGACTGAATGACCAACATTCAAGGGGAGCCTGGCCTCTTTTTCTTATCATTTGAGTTATCAAGGAGCCTGAGAGAAAGTGGGGGGCGGGATGCCCTGCAGCCCCCGGAACGCCGGGCATGTACGCCAGAAAGTAGCTGATTTAGCTGAAAGGACCCCACTTCTGCAATGGAGACAAGCATTTTCCAAAGGCGCATCACGAAGCTGACGGTTCTTATCAGCAAGGGACCAGAGAGGAGGCGGGGAGGGGCAGGGCGCAGGGCAGTCGGGAGCTGCATTTACCACTGTGGCTTCCTCCAGTGGAGTCACTTGGTGCCAGGGGAGGAGGGTGCGGCTTGTCCATCAGCATGCCAGATGAGGGGGCTCCTCCCAAGGGGACAGAGGGGATGGAGTAAGGGCCAGGGACACCGGAGACTGAGGAAGGGTACCCGGCCTTTGCTGCTTTCCCTGCTTCATACACTGCGGAGGGAGATGAAGAGCAAGAGATTATAGCGTCCCACCCTCCACGCCCTCACACCAAAGCCCCTGAGGATGCTGTGGAGGGCTCCTGGGTGTGTCCCGAGGGCTGAATCCATCTCCAGAACCACGCTCCCCACTCCCTTGGGCTCCTCCAGCTCCATCAAAGGCAACCGCAGGAAGAATGACCCTTTATACCTGGCAGCTGAGTAATTCAGCGGTGCAGGAGCTGTCAGAGCAGCCTCCCTGGTGACCAGCGGCAGCCAGCCTGCTCTTAAACAAACGGTCTGCCGGCTGCCTCAGCCCCTCCAGAGGAGGCCTCACACCGGGGCTGCCCGGGGCTGCTTCTGCAAGGACCCCAACCCACTTCTGCAGGAGCAGAGCAAGCCACAGGCTTGCACAGGACGGTGCTTTGTGATCTCAAAAGCAGAGCAAATAACCTGACTCCTCGAGCAAATGGCTTCATTCCTAAGAAAACTGAAGAGACGTGTTGGTCTCTCTTTCAAGACATGTTCGTGTTGTGGCAGGATGCCAGACTTCATGCCTGCATGGGGCTTGGCCGGAGAGGGGCCATTCGGAATCCCCAAATTAGGACTAGTCCCTCTGTGGACCATTCTGCCATGGGGGTGAACAGAACTCCTCTGTGGCTGGATGGGACCCAAAGACTGCAGTCTGCACACCCTGCCTGTCAACTGAGGGGTGCTGTACAAGCGAGAGCACGGCCAGAGGCTTCCTCTTGTAGGCACGACGAACGAGAGGGCAAAAGCTTACCCCCACAACCTCGCCGTCCTAAACTACGCTTTCACCAGTGGTACTGATGAGAAATCCAAAGGCAGGGTGACAGGTGTGGATAAAAAGCATGGAGGGGCGCATGCAGGGGAGAAGGTGAAATGAGAACGGGCACCTCTGGGAGCTGGGGGCACCCAGCGGAGATGCGAGTCTGAACGACCCCCTCTTGGGGTGGAAGGCACACAGCCACGCCACGGAGAGGGACGTGTCCCGGGGTCGGCCGCTGTACTCACAGGCCTGGGGGCAGCAGCACGAGTCCGGGCAGCAGGGACAACGGACGTAACAGCAGCAGCTGTGCGGACAACACTGGCACCAGCAGATCCCCAGCAGCACGAAGAGGAGCGCGACTCCCAGGATCACCAGGCTGACAAACACCCACTCTGGGAGGACGCAGACAGAGCCACGCCTGAGGCGGCCCACTGGCGGGGCGGCCACACTCTCATCGGCCCCCCCACGGGAGAGGAGGGGCAGGGGCCCGGGGGAGCCGCACCTAACAGGGTGCAGGGCCCGCAGACTCTGGGGACTCGTGGAGCCAGCAAAGCGGCGCAGACCCCCCCAGGGCTGGGGCATGGCAGAGGGGGGGGGTCACCCAGGTCAGCTGAGCATGCGGGGTGACCGGCACACGCCGCTGAGGGGTCTCAGGGCTTCCCCCTGGGGAAGGGGTTCACCACATCCCGTGGAGCGTCAGAGCAAGCCTGTGACAAGAGCAGAAGGACCCCTGGCTGGGAGGGGGAGTCTGCTGAGCTGTGAAGTGGTGGGCTCTGCGAATGCATATCCTTTGAGTCAAGTTATTCTTATCTATGAAAGCGTAAGTCCTGAGAAGTTCTCTGCATCTACTTGGTCTGAATCAGAACAGGTTTCGGTGGTCCACTCCCTTGCGTGGTCGTCTGATTCCCCTGCTGACACCTTTCCTGTGCTCAGCATGGAGACAGGTCAAAATCTAGTAACTCTACGGGTCCACCAACCATGGCGACAGAAAGCTAGAGACAGAGGCTCAGAGAGCACGCTGCTGCGATCCACGCCTGACGACGGCCTGGTTTGATCGCGCTCAGGCGCTAGACGGCCAGGACAGCCACGGACTAAAATGGCTCAGGGCTTTGATGACTGGCAAGACCAATATGTGGGTATCTGGCTGTGTTTGTTCATTTCTGCTATTTTCACAGCTCTGCCAGCGGCTGAACGTGAACTCCAGCTCACTGCCCATCCACAAGAGGAAGAGAAAGAAAACAAATGCCACTCGGCTTAGATGAAAATGACTGTGGCCTTAGTGACTCGCCTTCATGTCATGATCTGGGGACTTGGCTATAGGATCTGACGTCCCACGGGAAGCTGGGACGGACTGGATGCAGCCATGACTTCCTTTCAAAGCCAAAAGATTAAAGTGACTCGCTTTTTCATTTACCAAAAATCCCTTTACAATAAACTTCAGGGCAACACTGTTTTTCCTGAATTTTGACTATTCGATATTCCCTCAACTAAATGGACATTCAGCGGAGCTTGAGAATATGACATTTCTGCTATATGAAGGGTTTTGTGAAAATGATAATTATTTGACCCTTCATTTCTTCAGAGAAAACAAACTTATATGTCCTGACTGTCCTGCATACTCATTCATCTGAAATACATTCAAATAAACTGGGCCCCCCTCTTTCCAGTGAGGAAATGAAAAGGCCTTGTGTCTGGACAGACAGGCTGGACAGCATTCACGCTGAAGACAGTGGACAGCTGAGCGTGCCGGCCGGGGCCTCCGCGATTACAGAGCCCCATGACTGGCCTGCCATAGATGCAAGCCCGGGAATTAGATGTGCACGTGGAAGCTGTGGCTACGGCTTGGGCCAGGCAGTCAGGGATACAGACTGGCAGGTCACCTTGGAAAAACAAAACAATCTTAACTGCAAAAGGATTCTTGGGAGTCAAAAGGGAGGGAAATTCAGGGACCAGGACCAGATAGGAAAAATACAGTAACTCTTTGTGGGACTGGGGGGATCTAAACATCTCGTTTGCAGCGCTGCAACATAACATCGTTTCTTTGTGATGCACACAAACTGCAGGAACTCTGGAGAAGGGGGGGTCACAAAGAGATCTGTCTGTGACCTTGGGGTCAACATCGGTAAGAACAGTGTCTATACTTGGGTTGGCCAGCAAATGGGGAAGGGCTGGGAGGATTCATAATTAGTGAAGTTCAGCTGTGAAGACTCAGCATGTTTCTTAAAACCTGAATTAAGTCAAAACCAATGGGCAGGAATACTTTGTATCTCTCGCTGCTCTCAACTCAGGAAGCTCTTAACCCTCTGGGAGAAACTCTCCAGAGTAAGACTGAATTACACCGTTTTCTACTCCCTGAGTTGGGATATGTCCTCTCCCACAGTTTGTTCTTGTTTCTCTTTGGCTAGTGTAGGCTGGTGCCTTCAACTCAGGCTACATGAAAAGATCGGTGTGCATCTGAGCAGGCAGCCTTGACACACACATTCCATGGACCCCAGGGGCTTCAGAGGCCCAAGAAGCCCCTGAAATCGTACACACAGTGATAAAAGTCTGTAAATGTGTGCTTTTTGAGAGAGGAAGGGTATGTAGCTTTCAGAAAGTTTGAAAAAAATGTTTTGATAAAGTCACACAAGGCAATTCAGAGTAACACAGTGGTACCCTAATGAATGGGGAAACATACAACTCAAGGACTGAGCGATGCAGACCAATAGTGACTCTGGTAAGGATGCGTATAGCCATCTAGGTGCAGCTGAGATGCTGAGATGGACACGCAGACCGCCAAAGGGCCCGCGTGTCCAACACTGGAGAACTGGGGCCCCATCTCAGCCTATTTTAATTATCATTATTCTTTTAGGGCCTGGTAACAGAAGAAATACAATTTAAAGGCTCTTCCAATGGACTTAGTTCATCCTGGAAAAGACCACAGACATACACTGACAAATGTACAAATACACTGAAGGAGCAATTAGTGACTCATGCAGACGTAGGACAGATGGAGTGACGGCAAAGTAAGCAAATAAAGAGTTAAATGACTGAATACCTGGCATAATCTCCACAGCAAAACTGGGCAAGAGATCAGCAAGCAGCCCTGTCCTGCCTGGAAGAGGCAGAAAGAGAAGGGCAGAGGTTACTGCAAAGGAAAACACAGCTGGAAGCCTGGCTCCAGTTAGCACCGTCCTGGCACGGGCAGTCGAGCCACGCTCTTTGTGGTATGACAGGCATGTGACCACAGCTGGGCTGAGTCAAGAGAAGCACCTTTTGGCAGCATTTAAGTGAACTGCATCTAAGCCAGGCGGAAACAGAAAGAGAATCGTAACTGTTTCTTGGAGGAGGAAATCTCTGCTTCAAATATGAAACCCTGGCTTGAGCAGATTGACACACACCATCTCTCTTCATTTATACATTCTTCTCTACACATTTCATCCTAAAGTCAAACCCGTCTTTATCCAGATATTTAACCTACATTTTCATACATCCATACACAGTCCTATGCCCATATAAGAACAAAAGTACATACTGAATTTAACTCAGAATTATCTCACTGCAGTACTCTATTTGTAGCCTAAAGAAATTTCAATGATGAAAATTTTCAAAGGCAAGGAAAAGATAAAGCTAGATGAGTTATACACTCTTCTACACTCTTTCTGGCTTCAGAAATACTCTGTACATATGTATACGGTATGGCTTTTCCATATGGCACCCACAGCTGGCGCTGTATACCCCCGTGCCTTCTGTGTGATATGGCTGGTGTCAGAACAGCTGTCCCTCCGGGCTTTGGGAGGCTACAAAATTCAGGAAACAAGACAGGAAACTGGGGAGAAGGAGGCTGGCCCGTTTAAAAACTAGCCTGGCTCAAAGAAGCACTGAGTGCTTTCATGGTGTTCTCACAACAAAGTAAATGTAAAGTCCCTGGTATGGCTTCTGCCCCATGTCAAAATCTTCACTACACTGAAGCCTTGCTAATAAGCGGCAGGGCGACCCGAGCCACCTGTCCTCCTTTCAGACCTCTGATGGCAAAAGGTCACTGGGGTACCTAAGCTTGCAACTGAGTCTGACTTCATTTCTGTGTATGATGAATGAATGACCAGCTGTCTGGTAGAAATATAATGGGGGTAATGGGTAATTTTAGCTTTTCTAGTAATCACATTAAAAGTGTAAAACAAATTTAATAGTTGTTTTTCCTAATACCAACATAGCCAAAATATGAACCCCTCTAAGGCATCTCTATTGTATCTAGAAAAATGAGAGACTTTTCTGTTCACTTTCCCGTTCTCAAGCCTACCAATGTTTTAAACATCTCTAGATGTGCTATAGCCCAAGGCATTAATGATACTCATAATAGAAATGTTGTTGATGATATAAGCTACCAATATGCACATTCTGATAGGAAATTAGCTGTGTGGCAGTTATTAACTATAAAAACTGTACGTTCAAGGAAGATATGGTGCTCATCCACCTTCCATGGAACATGTTATGCTGGAGAGAGTGGCGGACTGGGGGTCAGGATACAGGGGCAACTGCCGTTCATTTACTCACGGACTACTAAGGCTCTTTCTCGGTCTCAATTCCTAGAAATTCCTCAATTCCTCCCTCTCTAGGTCTCAGGCCTCTCATCAGTCAGATGAAGTGGCAGCATGAAGCGCTCTACAAACAGGAGACCACTTATCTTTGTCCGGGACAGTCCTGGTTTGTGCCTGTCGTCCTGGTGTGATTATTAATAGCGGCCCTCTTCACTCTCAAAGTGTCCTAGCTTGGACAATTAGTTATATGGTCACCCTATCTGTAACATCCTTGAGTTCTCAAATCTGATACTTACGATTAGAGTTGCAAACTCAACTCTCTATGTTTACAGGGACCTGAGGGCAATGCAAATAAGTTTGTCCGATACAATTCCACAGGCAGAAGTTGGGGGAGTGGCAAATGGCAGATTATGTGTCTATAGGGGCTGCTTGCTATATTCGCCTCCAGCCACTTTTTGCCCCCAGGAATGTGTCTTCAGGGATGCAAATCTTTCTGTTTTTCGAGATTAGCCGGGCCCCAAATTTTTATGCAAAATATCCTGATTTTCAAATGTTAACTGATTTATAGATTAAAAAAAAAAAAAACACTGGACAAGCCATACAAAATACGTTTGGGGGCTCTACAGAGCCCAGAGATCATGCCCTTCCTTGCAACCACTGAGGGGTAATTACACACAGATATATTTATGAGTGGATAAAACACCGAAGCTGGATGTCCCCCCAGCTGCTGAGGTCACCTTGAGAATGTTCTGGCATTACCTCTACACACAGAATGTCAGTGAATACAAGATCTAGGCACCTGTGCTCAAATTAAAATCTGAAAGCAACACTATTACACACCAGATTGCTAGCTCTCTTATTTCTGGGGAGCTGCAATGGGCATCATGGAAGAACAAGCAGGGATTTTCATGTTGTGGATTTTCTTTTTATGATTGAAAAAATTAAAATAGGGTAGTATCAGAAATATGGACAGGCATTCACAAGGCCCATCCCTCCAACAGGAAGACATACATCAAACTTCTCATTCCCCACAAAGCCACAGCCAGTAACTGATGGGTAGGAGATGGAGACTTCCTGCAATGATCCTGCGCAGTTGTTAGCCCCAGGGTCACGTACATGACAGACTTGCAATAAAATGGGTGAAAATAAGTGTCTTCAGAATTGAGAACATAGTAGGAGTTTTGAGATAGCAGATAATACCACTATATCATGTCAACAGAGGAGAGTGCAAAGCTCTCTGGCTTGTACACCATGACTTACATTTTATTGGAGATAAAGGCATTTTAAAAATTAGATTCATGCTGGGATCCTATACTTCTGAAAATAATTTTGCTTCCAGTTTCTTGCCTGACAATTCCTAAGAATGGTTGTTGCCAGCTAGGAATGCTCTGTTTTCTCTGCCTATTCTCTCCCATCACATCCAATGAAGGCCTGATCTTCAAAAAGCCAAACAATTGCCGCAAATACGTTCCAGATTTCAGCAGCACTTCACCAACACTCGAGAATCACTGTCGTTCTTCAAGGATTCCATTTAGGAGTGGCAATTACAAGTCACTTTAATGTCTGAGAAAAGGACAGAAAGCAGACCTGCAAATAGAAGGCTACATTTACCCTTTTCAAACCAAGCTCAAGCTATCAGAAAACAGTTTTCATAGAAGCGCTCAGTGTTCCCCAAACTTTGAAGAATTCATTACTTATATGAAATTTCCACATGAACAGACCAAATGAATCAGGCCTACTCACAGTCTGAACATGCACACCCACGAGTGCCGCTTTCATACCGTGACATCACAAACTTCATAGCCAAAACAGCCACATCCTTGGGGGTCAAATGATCAGGGCGGAAACATGCATTGTGAATAAAACAACTTGCTTATCTTACCTATTTAATTCCCTATTTCAGCTGTTTCTGCTCCTGACACCTTGAAGTTACCTCCTACTGAAATTTTTGTCCATATTTCTGAGGACGAGCCCACTTCTAGAATGTCTTCACTTCATTCATTCACTATTCATTCGGTCAACAAAGAAATGTGTGTAGTGCCAGGGGGGGAACACAGAGAGGCGAAAGACTTGATATCTACCCTGAGACCCTCACATGCATGGTCTGTGAGGCCTGCCTGACAGTGTGGGACAAGGCCGGTTTTAGTTATGTGCCTCTGTGTCCCAAGACTTACTAAGGTCAAAGGACTTTCTTCCTGCTGAACCCGATGTTTTTATCAGCCTCTTTTGCATCTTTGACATCAGGTTGCACCTGGCCATGAGGCCCTTCCCCGGAGACACAGGTCTGGCCTGCTTTCCTACTTCTCTTCTCCTTCCACTCGTGGCATTATTTTTGCACATTCACAACAAACCACATCCTGGTGACATTTCCCCAAGGTTCTAACACTATTGGTTTGATAGGCCAGGCCCCCCAGGCAGGTTTGCTTACCTTCATTACTAAGATAACCAGCTCACACCTGGATGTCCAGCTTTGTTCAAATCCAACCACCCACTCAGTCCGCAGGACTCGGAACTGCATTCCGACAGAGCTGAGCACGCATCCTCCCGGCTCCCAAAGGGCACCCACACCCCCGTCAGTGCACGTTTCTCTCTGCCCTGTGATTCTTTCGCCTGCGCTTCTAGCAGCAGGACAGCAACGCCCCCGGAGCAGGGTCTGTGCTCAGTGCCTGGCATCCCTCGGGCCCAGTGCGAGGAGGTGCCTTGCCTGTCAGGACCTCCAGGTGTTCCCAGGAGCAAGGTCCCATCATGTGGTATGCTGGACTTCAGATTCACTGGCCGTGAAAGTGCCTTTTACCCATCCCAGGTGGAAATAGGCTTCTACTAAGATTATGGAGCAGTCATTCATTCATTCAGCACCCTTCTGTGTGCCAGGGAATGTTCAGCAGTCCCGGACTCGGGGCTCAATGCCACAGGGCATCCTCTAGCCAACGGAACATCCCCAAATGCCAGCTTGCTATCCAGGGAGATGGGAGCACCACCCCACCTCACACCCCACCAGTTGAAAACCACCAAGCCAGGTTTTTTTTTAAGGCAGCCATTACAGAGAAATACAATGTCTATACAAATTTAGCCAAAGAATTCTCCTTATCTCTACTCTTCAAACTTAAATCCAAGCTCTGATGGTTGACCCAAACCTTTCAAGTGCAGTGGAAGGCACAGAAGTTCCAGATTCAGGAGAGACTGGTTTTCAGACCCTAGATCTGCCACTCCGTTCCTTGATGACAACAGACACCTTATCTAATGCACGGGGACTTTTGACAAGGAGGGCAAACCGTACTTCTTTCATCCTTATGTCACCACTACTGACAGCATCATTATCTCCATGCGTCTCTTTGAACTCACTCACTTGGAGCTCTGTTCAGGGTTGGCAATACACCACACAAAGCCGCTTGGGACAATCTAGAATGCCTTCCTGCACCCCTTGTCGTCCCCTTCGTCTCCCTCTGTTTCATGCACATCTGGCCTTCATCCCACTTCCAAGCTCTCCTAGATGCCCTAGACTCATTTTCAGGGATATACTGAATACATCCCTGTTCTCTCTGCTCCTAGCTCTCCAAAGTGTTTCTCTCCTAAGTCT